ACATACAAATCCAAAACATTTCCTTATTTTTAATCTCATCGCGTCACTATTTAAAATGTATTCTCAACTCAATAATGTGCATGAAAATTTGTTGATCTCATGAAATGTGTGATTATAATTTATTTTTTATTTTAATTAAGATCTTAATCTATCATTTCAGATGAATCAAACATGGATTTAGATTGTTTCTCAAGTTGATCAAACTTAAATTTTAACTACATATATGCTACTTTCTGAATTCAATTTTTCCAAAACTAATTCTAATTACACGTTTTCTCATATAATAGTTTTACTTAAAATCAAAAGCTTTTTCCTACTTTTTAATCACATATTTTTTGAAAAATCATTATTCCAAAACACATTTTCCCAAAAAATTGGGGCTCAAACATGGGCTCTATGTTTATGGGCATCTAGGAAGGTTTTAGAATATAGGGAAAAAATCATAAATAAGGTGTATACTTTACACCGAATAAAAAATCAGGTTTATAATTTAAAAATTCAAAAATTAGGTTTTTTTATTTTTATCTATGAAATAATAAATTATTAAATCAATTTATTATTAAATATTTAATTCTAATATAATATAATTAACCCAACCACATGCACCACCCTACCGCTCTGGGAACTATTCCGGCGACCATTCCGACCACCACTTTTCTCCGCCGACTGTTCCAGTGACTTTTCCGGCGATTATTCCGGAGACTATTCCGGTCACATATTACAATTTACAATCACGGCTCAAAAATTTTGTAGGTTACAATTAATTCGTTGGTCACAGATCAAATTTTATATGTCACAAATTTCCAAATTATAGGTCAGTTATTTTATTGGTCACAAATAAAAAAAATTGCAGGTCACGATTTATCTATTGGTAACAGGTTTCCAGATTTGTTGTTGTCAAATTATTTTTCAAGTCACAGATTATCAAATTTTAGCGTTACAATTTAATACTTGGCCACACGTAACCAAGTAATTGGTCACATGCAACCAAGTAATTGGTCACATGCACCAAATAGTGATCACACACCACCGTCCTCAACACTATTGCCACCGCTTGTCTTCGCCGCTGCGAAATCCACCACCATCCTGTCACTATCACCACCACCACGACAGCACCACCACCACCACCGACACCAACACTACATCACCACCATCAAATCGTCATTACCAAATCCAATCAACTGCCAACAAAAATACAACCACCACCACTATCGAATCTCCTGCCACCAGCTACCATCAACCACCAACCACAACCATTAACAATCCACATCACACTACAACCACCACCCAACAAAAAACCCTAACCCATCACGGCCACACCACATGGCCACCACCATCAACTGCACACAACCAATAAAACTCCACAGTCAAACAATCACGCCGTCACCCCTGGGCTACTGCCTGCAGAATCACCACCTACCTTCACATCAACAATGCCCTACGGCAGCCACAGATCCATCTGAAAATGTCCCCAGCACCACGACTCAACACAACCACCATGCAGCACCACGACGCAACACCACAGATCCGTCTGAAAATGCGGCAGCCACAGCACCATCTGAAAATGTCCCCAAATCCGTTTGAATTTTGAAGCCATTGCTCCACTCACAACGCGGCGCAGTACAGCAGCGAGAAGCCCCTGCTCGACTCTCCGGCGACGGGAGCTCCTCAATGGCGACGGCGATCTAAAGAAAATGGAGATGGTAGAGAGAGACGATGAGAGAATGAGAGGTAGATAAAAATTGATTTAGGGTTTGGGAATAGGTATGGTGGGAATAATATTTAATTTTTAAATAAATACTTGAATTTTGATTAAAAATATTCTCACCTGATTTTTGCACTCTATTATTTAAGTACCCGATCTTTTATAATTTCCCTTGAAATTTTCATTTTTGTTTATGAGATCCACCACCTACCCGTCACTATCACCACCACCACGATAGCACCTCCATCGACAACTACACCACACATCACCACCACCAAATCGTCGCTACCAGATCCTATCAACTGCCAACAAAAATACAACCACCACCTTTATCGAATCTCCCGCCACCAGCCACCATCAACCACCAACCACCACCATTCACAATCTACATCACACTACAACCACCACCCAACAAAAAACTCAAACCCATCACGGCCACACCACATGGCCACCACCATCAACTGCACACAACCAATAAAACTCCACAGTCAAACAACCACGTCGTCACCCCTGGGCTACTGCCTGCAGAATCACCACCTACCTTCCCATCAACAACGCCCTACGGCAGCCACAGATCCATCTGAAAATGTCCCCAGCACCACGACTCAACACAACCACCATGCAGCACCACGACGCAACACCACAGATCCGTCTGAAAATGCGACAGCCACAGCACCGTCTGAAAATGTCCCCAAATCCGTTTGAATTTTGAAGCCATTGCTCCACTCACAACGCGGCGCAGTACAGCAGCGATGAAGCCCCTGCTCGACTCTCCGGCGACGGGAGCTCCTCAATGGCGACGGCGATCTAAAGAAAACGGAGATGGTAGAGGGAGAAGATGAGAGAATGAGAGGTAGACAAAAATTGATTTAGGGTTTGGGAATAGGTATGGTGGGAATAATATTTAATTTTTGAATCAATACTTGAATTTTGATTAAAAATATTCTCACCTGATTTTTGCACTCTAAAGTTGAAATACCTGAAATTATGTAATTTCCTCTATAATATAAGCCCCTATTTGAGCCCCATTTTAATAAGAAAATATATTTTGGAATAATGATTTTTTTGATAATGTTTCATTAGAAAAGAATGATTTTTTTTTTCAATTTACGTGTAAATTTTTTTTTATGGGAGAACGTATCGCTGAAAATAAGTTCTGAAAAAAAATAACTTTTTGAAATAATGAGGCGCAAACATTGGCTAAATTTAAATATTAGTAAAAGAACACATATAATCGAAGCTTATGACCAATATGTAATTAGGGCATCTTCAAAGGACACACCAAAATGCTCCAAACGGTGCAAAAGGCCCCCAGTGTAATGGTGCATAGTCAATTTTACCGTTCTTTTCATTTGCCAAACAAATTTATGAAGGGTATTTGTGTCATGTGTGTTATATATAAATTTAATACAATAAATTATTATTGTTATTATCATAATTCTTATTATGATTAATATTATTATTGTGTGCATTTAAAATAAATTTTAATAATGTAAAAAATAATAATTAATGAATTAATTAAAATAAGAGTACAAAAAAAAATAATAATAAAGAATGTAAACATGATTTTTTTTAGTGTTTCAATTAACTGTACTATATTTTTTATATTTATTAATGAATTTAATATTTTCGTTAATTTATTGTAATTATTTATTTAGCAATTTATGTATTTGTAAAATAAATAAAGAAATAGTTTTCAAATAAATAAATTATTAAGAATAAAATGATTAAACATTGTTCATTTGGTGTAAGTTTTGGTGTAATAGCTGGAGGTGATTTTTAATTTGGTGCAAATTTTGGTATAAAATTGTATAAAACTTACTTCAAATTTTGTTTGAAAATTGAAGATGTCTCATCTTATAGCATATGTTTATGTTTCTTTAAGTTATTAATAGCTAACGTGTGGAAATGTTTTTTGAGATTGATGATTCCATGAATTACAGTTAAGAAGCGAGGCCATGTTTGATAACCATTATTTTCTCTAGAACTAGGAAAAAAAATTTCATTTTCATGCAAAGTAAGTATTTGATATGACAAATTTGGCCAAGAAAATATTTACCCCCCAATTGGTGGGAAAACATTTTCCATGTTCTGCCAAAAACTTTTTGGCAATGTTAACAAATTTCATAACCAATTATAAAAAAAATTTCACTTTAATGGACAATTTTCATATGAAACGAAGCCAAACGAACACTAAACTTTGATGAAAAAATAGTTTTCGAGCAATTTTTTTTTTTTTTACTTTTTTGCAATGTTAACAAATTTCATAACCAATTGTAAAAAAAAA